GAAAATAAAATACAAGCTGAATAGTCAAGACCTTGTTGATGTTCCAAGCTCTGTAAAGGACCTTGGAATACTCATCTCAAATGATCTAAGTTCTAGAGCCCACTGTAACTACATAGCCAAAAAAGGGATTAAGAGTTGTTAACCTAATCCCACGTAGCTTTTTCTCTGATAATATCACACTACTAACTAGAGCATACAAAACATTTGCTAGACCAATACTCAAATACAGCTCATCAGTCTGGAACCCACATTACGTATCTGATATTAGCACAGTTGAGAAAGTCCAGAAATATTTCACAAGAAGAGTTCTCCACTCCTCTCCTCATTGTAAAATATCTTATGCCACCAGACTTGAGATTCTAGACCTAGAAAACCTTGAATTACGCCGTCTTCGGTCTGATCTAAGTATGGTATATAAAATCATACATTGCAATGTCCTACCTGTCAATGAATACTTCAGCTTCAACCATAACAACACAAGAGCACACAATAGATACAAACTCAAGGTTAACCGCACCAAACTTGATTTCAGGAAATACAACTTCAGCAACAGAGTGGTCAATGTCTGGAATACTCTACCTGACTCTGTAGTTTCTTCCCCAAACCCCCAAAACTTTAACCTTAGACTGTCTACTATTGACCTCACGCCATTCCTAAGAGGTCTGTAGGGGGCGTGCATAAGCGCATCAACGTGCCTACCATCCCTGTCCTATTGTTTCTTTTATTTTTCTTATATGTACCCATTTCATGTATTCATAACTATGTATGTACTTATACCTATTATCTTGTAAGCAATTGACAAATCAAATAAATAAAAATAAATAAAAATAAAAGTAAGATCTTTTCAAAGGCAGATTACTTTGCAGTACTTCAGACAGGTGGTTTCAGAGGTCAGGACATTGTAGACTGGGTAGAGTCATAAATGGTGCAGTAACCAAAGCTAGGGGAACCTTCTGCTGTTTAATGGGAATTGCAGGTCCAGGAAAGCCCACAAGTTAACACCTCAATTTCCTATTATGATTATCAAAGATGAACTAAACATAAAACAGTTCAGTACAAAATATAAATTAAAACATGGACAACTTATCCCAAACATGATTAGTACAAATTTAAATCCAAACATCTTATTGTCTAGCTACCTAATGTATTATTTTATGCTTTGTCTCAGCAAAGAAGCAGAAAAGGAGGCAGATTTGCTCAGCCACATGTGATATGTGGTTGCAATGATATCTTCAGGAACCATTAAATTGAAAGATAATGCTCAAATTTTTTCAAAATGTGGTTCACTCGATGTGTTGCTCATTACTTTTCCAATTATTGGTTTTTAATTAATTTAAATAATTCATTTCAAGATTTTTCCCTTGACAGATTAATGCAGGGATTCGCAACCTGTGGGCCACAGCACATTACTGAGCCCTGGACTATTCACAACTGGGCCACATGAGTGGCAGGCTAGTGCACTTGCACACACAGCCCAACTCACACGAGCGGTGGGTGCCAGTGCTTACAGCCCAACTTGTGTGAGTTGTGGATGACAGTGTTTGAAGCCCAATTCATGTGAGCAGTGAGCACCGGTGCTCACAGGTCCACTCACATAAATGGTAGGTGTGCGCAGCCATCACTTGCAATAATGCTGTGCTCACACATGCCTGTGCACATGTCTGCCATTTGTCAAAAATCATCCCCACTCCATGCTGGGCAGCCAACCTGGAAAATTTGGGGAATGCTGCATTAGTGCATATTTCTAAGAGCACTATGTACTCTTAAATTAAAAATCAGGATATCACCCATATATTCCAGATCTGAGATGGTTTGGATTTGTAACTATCTTTGGAGAAGTCAGATTTATGTAAGACAGAAATTAGAGAACTGATGAAAATGGGTTGAAAATGAGTCATCCTTTACTCCATATTAAACAAATATATTTTTGTTATGTATGTATGTATGTATGTATGTATGTATGTATGTATGTATGTATGTATGTATGTTATTCAGGTTTGTTCGGGTATTTTCCCATGTCATTATAGTTGTGCTTTTAAAATTGTAGCAACGTTTCGGCAGAATCCATGATGGCAGATGAGATTCTGCCAAAACATTGCTACAATTTTAAAAGCACAACTATAATGACGTGGGTAAATACCCAAACAAAGCTGAATACCATACATATAAATACCTGTGAAAACTTAAGAAAAAAA